GGCACTGGCTCCGCGAGGGGCCGAGGGGACCCCAGGCCCCGTCCCCTCCCATCTGCGGAGCGGGCTGCCTGTGCGCCCCTTCCCGGAGTCCTTCCACACACACGCACACACACACACACACACACACGCACACACACACGCACACACAGGCTCACCTCTTTCTGCAGTGTTATTCCCGAGAAGAAAAGGCCAACCCGGCTGATTTTGTTTTTCTACCTCCATGAATTATGGCAAGTTCGGAATAGAAGGTGAGGAGAGGCGAGGACTCTAGGGGTTTTCATGTTTTGAACCCCCACAAGATGAGCACCTCAAAAACATTTTAAACATGGAAGTTACTCCGTGGTTCTCTGCTACTTTAGAATATAGAAAGGGAGGTTTTCAGAATTGTGTGCCAACATCCAGGAGAGAAAAGAGCCGCGGACTTACTGGAAGATGGGAACCAGGAGAGCAGGCTTTTAGGTGGATGGCCCTGTCGTCTGTGGAAGGCTAGGGGTCCCTGCAATGTTTATGCCATTGTCAGAGCCCAAGGATCAAGGATTTGGGTCACAGGCAGCTCTGATTCCTTCCGAGGAGCAGACTTGTAGGTCTGTGCAGTCTCTGAAGGGAGAGCCTGTGTGTGTGTGCGTGTGTGTGTGTGTGTGTGTGAAAGACAGAGAGAGAGAGAGAGAGAGAAGTGTGCTAAGTATATTGTGTGATAACTGACCAGACGTCCTGGCTGAAATTATGCCGCCTAAAAAGAGAAAGGAGCCATTTCAACCTGGTCTGTGGTCTTCATGCTGAAACTAATTGATTTCCAGGGTCTGAGAGGGAAGGAGAGAGGCTGGGAGGGGTCCCTACAAAAGATTAGACAATTCACTGGAGAAGATTTGCCTTGCAGCAGGGTTTTCCTGGCGCTCGAATCTTGAGGACGCCATTCCCTATGGCTGTGCAAAGCCGAGTGGTCTCACTGAAGGGCTGGCCCCCGCGTCCACCAAGCCTGGCACGTCCTGCGGCTCAAATGCGCTGAGACGGAGAGGACAGTGCCTCCCGTGCCCAGCGGGCACTGCAGCGGGGATGGAGACGTGGAAGGGAGCCAAGGGCAGGGGGCGCTTTTATAGTCCTGTGTTCTTTTGTTTTTTCCACCAGGATCATGATCCTGAAGAAATGCCTGGTTTGGTTTCCTCTGCTCTCTGAGTTAGCACTACGCTGCTCTTACCTAATGCTTAGGATTTTTAGACTGATTTGGGCTGATTTAATCAGTCAAAAAAAAAAAAAAAATCACCAGCCAAACAATTTCTGCGGTTTCCTTCTTCTTTTCTTTTTTCTTCTTCTCTTCCTTCTCCTTCTCCACCTTTTACCTAAATAGTAGTCCATCAAAGTAGCCAAACTAGTCTGAACATGACTTGGAATCTGAAAACCTACAAACAGACAATAAGTAACAGTGGGCTGTACCTTAGTGGTATCTTTTATAGGCTATTTAAAGCTATTTTTAAAAAGCAACTGTGTGATCCCTTCAAAGTGGGTGAAAATTCATAAACCGTTTTACTGAGTGAGGGAAAATTAAGGTAAAAGGGCTTAGCTTCGGATTTGAAGAGCAGGAAGAAATCAGGCCCTACTGTGTCCCCGCTGATGGGTCATTAATTATCCAGGAGCGACCACGCTGTGTTTGGGTTATGAATTTTTATTTCCATTAGACTACTAAAATAAAGAAATGTGGTGGGGAGATGTGAGTGAATTTAAATAATGAATCAAGAACAAAGGGAAATGGCTTTTCAAATAACCTTCGTCACATAGATTTGAAATACTGCATTTTGTTAAATTATGTTCTCCACAGATACGGCTACCAGTACTCACAGCTTATTTTAAAGTGCTTGGATGTGAACTATGTTCTCTGGCAGAAGCTTTGAGACCGAGTTCCATTATATCAAATTTTAAATGCTATATAGGCTTAGGATTTTTTCAGTTGAGCAAGTTTATAATTTCTATTTTTGTTGCTATTAAATTCAATTTTTATTGCTTATAATGAAACACAAAGGAAGGACAAAAATCAAATGCCAAGTCTGTGATGGGTTTGAAGTATTATAAACATTTTCCCATCAGGGCATGTAAAACTGGCCTTTTGCTCTAGGGTTTTCCTCGGGTAAATGGTAAATAGGTTTCCTGATCACTCTCTGGGATGCCTTTGAAACGATCTCTTCAGAAGACAGTTAGGGAAGGATCCAGAGAGTAAAGTGTGGGAAAACTTTGGGGGCATCCTGGAAGGTAAAAGGCGCTTTGCTGGAAGTTCAGCATTTTATTTGGAGTTGCTTTTATCCTGCAACAGCAGATTTTCCAGCCTTCAGGGACACATGTGTATCTTAAAACTTGGTCCTTCCTGGGGTTCTTCAGAAAGATGGTTCTTGAAATTATTGAATTTCACTGAAATTATGTACACCAACCTAACTCTGGGGAAAGAAACCCAGCAGCTATTTTTACCTCCTTTTTTCTTTAAATGGTCTGCATTTTTATTGTTTTGTGCAAAAGCTAAGATAATATCAACAGAAAAGAGAGATTCATAGTAGAACTACTACTAGGATACAATTTAAAAGGACAAAAAGCTTCAGTCGACAAACTTTTATTTTGGATGCACATAAGTTTAGAGTTATTTTTACTTATTTCAAATGTTTTTATTATAACCCCCTCCCGTGTTGAAAAACAATCTTTCTGTCCTTCATCCTTATATACCGTGCACATAGTGCAAACCTGGAAATCTTCCTTAAGTGCACTTGTGTGTGCCTAACTGGTAAGGCAGAGGAGGGAACCAGGCATGAGGAAGGAAACTCCACAGCACGTGTGTGAGAAAGGAAGTGACGTCATGAAAGCAGGCCTGGGATGGGAGCTAGGACTTTTCCTCGGAGCTCAACGGCACCTTCCCAAGCGTTCGCTGATAGCTTCCAAACACAAAATAATTTTCTCAGGGAGAAACTGAAGACCGAAGGAACCCAAAATAAAAGGATACTGAGTAGAGTCTGCACCCTAGGATTTGGGGAACAAGTTACCACTACAGATTCTTAGAAGAAACGCATGTGATCGACCTGGGTCTCGGACAGATCTTTTGTAAAGTCTCGAAATAAACAATTTTGAGGTCTTTTGTATTTAAAATGTCCTTTTGGCTAGCCAACAAAAATATGGCCGAGAAAGATTCAGGAGGCACTAGAATGAATGACATTTTATTTCATAAAATACATTTTATAGATATTCTCTTTAAAAGGCAAAATTTCATTCAGCTTTGCTGTCAACTGAAATAATAACCATGGAAGGCCTGAAAATCTTAGTTTCACAAAACATTTAGTATTTCTCATATTTACTGGCCAATATGTAGCATGTATTAATACATAACACAAATATTAGTCATACAGTGGTTTCCTTTTGTGTGATGTTGGGATTCAAACCCAGCACTGCTGCTTAGTGTGCACTCTGTCCCTGAGTTTCCTCACCAAGTCCGACAGTAATTAAGTGTAAAAGTCTGAACAAGATACTGAGCATGGACCCGTGTGTCTGTTCTCCATGTCCATCTTCACACAGTTGCTTTGTCTGTTGCCAGTTAGGGCTCACGAGGTCTTTGCCCAACTTCAGAAAAGCAGGAGATTTTGCTGGTACCCGGTGGGCTGGTGGTGGAAGGGCGCGTTCTTCCTGGAGACAGGAGTCTGTCTCACAAGATGGCACCTGGGAACCATGTAGGAATCTGGTGGAGAGGAGGTGGGTGGGGGTTTCAAGGTTAGTAA